GGACTTTGGTTCGATGTCGGGGCAACCCCGAGAAATGTTTAGTTATATGCTATGTGTTATATGTTCCGGACTTCGGTCCGATGTCGAGGTAAGCCCAAGGAAGATTTAGCTTATATGTTATGATATATGCTTATATTATATGCTTGTTGATATGTTATACGTATTCGGGACTTCATTCCGATGCCGGACTTTGGTTCGATGCCGGGCAGGGCCCAATTTTGGACTTCGGTTCGATGTCGGGCGGGGCCCGATGTAGTGGGATAGGCCCAAGTTATGTATATGTTATGTGTTTATGTTATATGCATTGTTGATATGTTTATATGTATACCGGATCTCGATCCGATACTGGGCGGGGATCGATGTAGCGGGCAAGGCCTAATGTATGTCAATATGTGATGATGTGTATGATATGTGGTAGTTTGGGGAGAATCACTAAGCTTCGTGCTTTCAGTTTTCAGTTTTAGTTTCAGGTACTTCTGATAACAAAGGGAAGAGCTCGGGGTGACTGCATGGCACGCACCACAACTTTTAGTCTGGCATGATTTACTCAGATGTTTTGGCATGTGATTTTGATACATTGATAGTTGTAATGGTATTATTTGAGATACATGATTTATGATTTTTATATGATGATGATAATTATGGTTTTATTATTGATTTAAAAACGAAATTTTTGGACCGTATTTTTGGGATGTTACATGTATCCTCTTAAACAAAAATCTGATATGGTATGATCTCTCGTCTAAAAAGATTATCATTTCTCATCATGCCGTAATTGACGAGACTATCTTTCCTTTCGGTCATTCATTCTGAATGATCCGCTATCCTATGATTCTCTAAATGACCTTGAGTCGTCTTCTCCATTGGCTCGTCAATTTTGTACTTCTCCTCCTGCTTCCTCCACTACCACTAATCCTCCGACAGTCGGCTCCACTATTGCGTCGTCCGCGGCTATCCCTCCTTCCATGACTCAACCTCAAGCGATCTCCCCTTACACCAACATTGACTCCATTCCTACAACCCTTGTCATAATTGAGCCCATCTCTACCCCTCTACTTTCTCATCATATAACCACTAGAGCCAAATACGGTATTCACAAACCTATTTATCATCCAAATCTTCTTACCAAGACGTAATTGGTATTCATAAACCTATTTCTCGTCCAAATCTTCTTACCCAGACGTAATCGTCTCTTCCCCAGTGTTATTTACATGGTTTAGATGATCCTCATTGGAACTTAGCTATGCAAGAAGAATATGATGTGTTAATGAAGAAATAAAATATGGAATCTTGTTCCACGACCGCAAGGGGTTAATATTGTTCTAACCATTTGGTTATTTAAGAATAAACAAAAT